TCTCAGAAGTTGAATTCGGGAGAACTGTGCATATTTATTCTCTGCTTCTATGGGAAAGTACAAAAATGGGGTCTTGTGCACTTAGAAGGCATTAGATGAAATGAAGCACTTGATGTAAAATACTGGTCTACGAATCCTAAGAATAAAAAAGAGGCCAAGAGTGCTCATTGCAGTGATTTGGATTCAGTATGTGGTGGTTTTAGCAGAACAGAAGTAACTCGCGTCATGATCTGTGCTAAGATACAAAGGATTGTAGCATAGTCTGAATCGAGAGACAAATTATTAGAGCTATTCTTAAGAGCTCTGGTTTCTTTCCTGAAAATGTTGATGAAGTAGGAGGGTCAGCAGTCACTGGTGAACTTCTTGTCCTAAAACTGGAGACTTGAGTCTCTCCTGAGCTGTACTGGTAGCTTTAATGAGGCTGTACTCTGATCTCTTTTCATTTGAATGTTAATTTAGTGCAAGGGTCAGGAGTAGGTCAGCATCAAGAGTTGGCTACCAGCAGCTGAATTGGTGAGACTGCTTGGGAAGCTGGTATAGCTGGATCCTTTATGTCATTTTATGTCTTACTCCTAGAGGTTTTGACAGAGTAGTATAAGAGGTTGATGAGATTTCCCCCCCTACACCCCGTTTGTTTCTGGTCTCCCCTTTTTGTCTCAGTGTGCCTTTGATGGTACAACACTGTTGTATTTATAGTAAGGTTGGGGTTGAGATTTTTGCATAAAATAGGCTCAGACTTAACAATATGACATGAGATGAAAACAAGTTACTGAAGCGTGGCCATTCACTAAGTTTTTTTTCTCTTTCTGTTACAGTTTGAAGGTGGCTCTGGATATGGTAAGTCTTTATACCGAACCTTTACATGTACTTAATTATGTAGTTACTAAAGGGCTTGATGCATACGTTTAAATCAGACTATTCTTACGCAGGGGGACGCGGTTCATATGGAGATCTTGGTGGACCCATCATCACAACACAAGTAACGATTCCCAAAGATGTAAGTAAAGTTGACTTGCTTTCAATTTGTGTTTTCTCCAAAAAAAAAAAAAAAAAAGCACAGCCTTTTCTCATACTATATAAGTAAATCATAAGTATTTAGGGTGCTTGATTAGTACTTGTAATGTTGTGAAAACAAATCACCAAAAGTCCGTTCTTCGAGTGTTTGGTTTCTGTCTTCACTTTAGAGATGCACTAAACAATTTTACTGATTGTTAATATTCAGCAATAGAGATGATCTGTGTAACTTTTTTGCAGATGAGCAACTGGTTCTTCCAGTTTTAGCCCACCTGTGTTTACACTATTCATAATGTAGGGGATGTTTTGAGGCTGTAAAGAAGTAAGCTTCCATTGCAACTCTTAAAACCAAACTTACGGAAGCTGCTCAAACACTACTGTGATTTTTGTAACTGTTTTTAGAGGGAATGTTGTATCAGGAAATGACTGCTTGTTTTTCTCCCCCAGTTGGCAGGATCTATCATTGGAAAAGGAGGCCAGAGAATCAAACAAATACGTCATGAGTCGGGAGCTTCGATCAAAATTGATGAACCATTAGAAGGCTCAGAAGATCGGATAATAACTATCACGGGAACACAGGACCAGATACAAAATGCACAGTATTTACTGCAGAACAGGCAAGTTAGAGTTTAATGTTGTCCCCACAGTCAATTTTAAACTGACTTGTACATGCTAAAGCTGCTGTTCTCTGTGATACGGTTTTTAGAAGGCAGGTTATAAGTAACTATTTGAACCTAACTTCTCCTGTGGTAGTTCTGCCTTGATTCTCTTCTGTTCTCTATTCTAATTAAAATGAAGACACCCTCAAAACTAATCTTGCTGGAAGACGCCTTAACCAAGCAGTCCTCTCATTTCTCTGGTGAAAACTGCTGCAAAAAACTACTTGTAATAAATTACATAGAGCCTGTAGAAAATATAGAAGATTTCAGTGGATGTTGGTCTAGTTCTGTGTGGAAGACTAGTGATTTTGTTGTTTTTAGATAACTAAATTGACAACAAATCACAGTCTGCCATATGGCACAGATCATGCCTCTACAGGACAAAGTGAAATCAATTTGGTGCTGTTATGCAGCATTTCACACCTTGCTGACATTACTTTGTCTTTTCTGCCAAATATTAATAGCTTCAGATTTGATTTGCTTAGTTGCTTTATTAACATGTTGGCTGTCATAGCAGATTTTAATGTTTTAACTTGAATGTTTGGCTTTAGATTATTAATACTTAAATGTTCCTAAAATCTATTAATACACATCATTATTAGCCATTAATATTTTAAAATCATTTACTTTTAAATGTATTAGGAATTTGTAATCTAGTCTGCTCTAAGAATGTCATTGTGAATGTTGATGCAAGATGTATGGTCCATCATTCTAATACATGCTTTTTTCTTTTTCTTTTATAGTGTGAAGCAGTATGCAGATGTTGAAGGATTCTAATGCAAGATTATTTTTTCTTTTTTATAGTGTGAAGCAGTATTCTGGAAAGTTTTTCTAAGACTAGTGAAGAACTGAAGGAGTCCTGCACCTTTTTTTTTTTATCTGCTTCTGTTTAAAAAGCCAACATTCCTCTGCTTCATAGGTGTTCTGCATTTGAGGTGTAGTGGAATCTTTGCTGTCCACCAGATGTAATGTTTAGTTCCTTACAAATACGTGGGAGGAGGGAAAGGGCGCACGAGACTAACATTGAAATTTTGAAGCAGCAGCAGAGTGAATTTTTTTGTTCATTGTTGGTGGTAAAACTGTAATGTTTTTCTGTAATTGTTGTGAACGCCCTGCTTTATGTACACTGTATTTTTTTTTTTTTTTTTGAAGGGGGAGAATACTGGTAGCCCACATGTCCCTGGCAGCCTTTGAGAGCAGTGTGCACAATGTAACGCTCTTTTGTAAGAAACATTTACGATTTCTAAATAAATTTAGTGAACCTATTCTTGGTGGTCATTTTTCTTCAGATACGTGTAAGGTAATACCTAAATTGAGACACCCTTCCCCCTCCCCTTCCCCCCAAGAAAATGCGTAAATGAAAAGTTGCTGTTAAGCTTGCTTTTCTGCTTCTTTGATCTAGATGGAGTTATGTGGGATTTTTTGACAAATTAAAAGGAACCGTGTGAAAACAATGACTCTGCTTTGCTGTTTGAGGAAAAAAATGCAAAAATACTCATGCAAATGTTGTGTAAAACTTGACATTTTTTGCAAGTGTTTGGCCCTATTTGCAGTACATATATATATTGGTGACAGTATATAAATAAAATATTTTAAAACTTTGTGATGTCACTGAGTTAAACAGTGGTAAAGTACACCTGGTTGTAGACAGCTTGCTTAATGCAGATAACACTGTTAGAAATGACAGTTGCTGTACCATTACTGAATGAATTATAGTTGTTTTCTGAGCTTTCATTTGTATGACGTAGAAATTCTTATAAATTGGCAAATTGACAGTATCTAACTCTGTAACTTGTTTTTCATTGTATGCAAAACTTAAAACTTGTTTGGTTTCCCTGTTGTATGTTGAATTCCATAGGAATTATTTGTGAGAAATTAAAAAACACAAAGCCTCTGGATATGTCATGTAATACCTTGGCATTTGTATTTATAGTTTACCAGTTTTAATTTCACTTCCTGAATAAAAACAAATTTTAAAATCCAAGTGTGTCCGCACATACAGATACAGTGGGCCCAGGCCAAGCGTGAGTTCTCGCACTCTTTGGTTTGTTTGGTTTTGGGTTTTTGTAAACCTAGGTTGTATGACATTTCACTGTGCTTTTTTTTAATGGTCTAGGGCGATTCCCGCCCTAGAAAGTAGGCACTCGTGCGTGTAAGGCGAGTGGCCAAGAGGTGTGGGTAAGGCTGGCTTCCTTAAAATCGATCTTCTAAAGAAAAAAAAAAAATGCCCTGTCCGGCGGTGGGCGCGGCAGCGAAGCGGGCCGGGGGCAGGGGCCGGGCTGGGGAAAGGCTGGGCCTGGTGAGGGCGGGAGGGGGAACCTGCCCGCCAAGGCACCGAGGTTTCGGGCGAAATGCAGCGGAGTTGAAACACGGG